CATGATCTAAAAGATAGTTAGGGGAGAAGTTTTGTGGGAGGTTTGGAAGAAGCGCCATAGAAGAATGTTTAAAAGTGAGAGTTTTTCTCTTCATAGAGTTCTTAATGGCATTATCCACACCCTTTGGAGCTAGATTTCGGTTACGAAGGAGGGCTAGGGTGTGTCTGAGGTGGATGTGAGGTTGAAACTTACTATCTTAGTCTTCTCAAGGGGAGCTAAGAGTCGGCTTATTGGACGATGGCTACCTCCACTGTAGGGATATTTCAAATTGAGCTGCGATGGAAGTTCTTTTGGAAACCTAGGTGATACCGGTGTTGGAGGGCTGGTGCATGACTGGAGAGGAATCATCAAGTTTGCATTTGCAGGACCTATTGGTTTAGCTTCTGCTAACCATGCTGAGCATTCTGTCTTATTTCATGGTCTAAGATTTTTTAGTTCTAAAAATCTAGGTCCCATTTGCATGGTGAAAGGGGGTTCTTCGAACGTCATCAAGTGGTGTAAGAAGGAACTAAGGGTCTTGTGGAATATGTGATTTATTATGGTTTGACTATATCCTTCCACCATATTTATAGGGAGGAATCTGTGATTTTTATGGGGCCAGATTATGGTTTGTGATTTTTATGGGGCCAGATTATGGTTTGACTATATCCTTCCACCATATTTATAGGGAGGCTAATGCTATTGCCGATCGATTAGCTAAGAAAAGAGTTACTCTTCCTTCCATCTTATTATCGAATGATGATGTAAATTTGTAATGATCTCCTTTTATCAATAAAATTCGATAACATTTATCAAAAAAAAAAAAAAAAAGCCTATGGCATGCGTCACCAGCACCGACACCACATCACCCGTTTGGGGGTTGTTGCACTAAGAGATGATATTGTCTGAATCACCATCAACCACCAGTGGTGCAATTTTAGTCTCCCAGTCCAAGGTTCATGGTAAGGGTTGTTTCTATTTGAAAAACGCAAAAAAATGTTGAACATATATGTTCATAAATCCGCCTACTTCAGGAAGAAAAAGAAACTACTGGTCTTCATAGATAATCTGTGTATTGTTTAGAGATATGGGACGGTCCAAAACTGGAGCTGTATGATCACCTCAATGGAAGGTGATGACTCGATAGATTATGAATATGTTTGTATGGATCGAAGGTGACGAAGACAGTGGATCGTAGTCCGTCCCTTAAGCCAATGGAGGGTGATGTCCGAGATGATGGGATTATAGTACTTTCCCTAAATAAAGTGAGAGTAGGGTGTAGGGGTTCAGATGCGCCGTTTATTAGGCCTCACAAAGGACAATGCGAGCATCTTTTAACAGACATCCTCATTAAGAGAGAGAGAGAGAGAGAGAGAGGTCTATCTATTATGGCTTTTAGAGAGAGAGGGAGACTTCCAAAAGCTATTGCGGTCAGACTGCTCTCTCTGCCACCCACTATATTGCTTCTGATACAATAATTACAGTTACACTTGCTCTTGTGAAGTTGTATTAATGTTGTATATATTATTGAGCCCTATGATTATTTATTTATACATGGCACACGACTTATCCATGCAATGCAATGCAATGCAATGCAATGCAATGTACAGTGACATGATGTGTGATGTGAGGCTTCTCTACTTTTCTCCCTCTATCTTTCACTGCCACCCCCAATTGAAATAAAAGGAAGACACGACGTGACGTTTCAGATTCTGTGTCCTCTTTATCCAGGCAGGCAATGGCTTTTCCCTTTAATCTCTCTATTTATTGTTATTGGTATTCATCCCTTCTCTCTATTATTATTTATTTACTCATTTTCATCTACCTTCCCTTCCTGATGCTTGCTTCTTTGCATGCTTAAACATTCTTCGTTTAAAGCTGCTGCCTCTGATGCATCCAACGTCCTCTCTCTCTCTTACTTTCTCTCTCCTCTCTCTCTCTCTCTCTCTAACAGTTATTTACACAGTTGAGAGAGACCTTACATATCTGCCCTTGGGTTTTGAAAATGTACGTGTCTTTAGTCTTTAAATTGACAGTTGGTTATTTTCTCCCATGTTATAACTCAAATACATTTCCACCCTTCAGTTTTGAAAACTGTACCAGTCTGTTTAACCTTTAAATAAACAAGAAGTTATCAAAATGCCCATAAGAGTTTACTTATTTAACATTCTGTCCATTTATTATTATTACAACTCAAGATCATGTTTTTTTTTTTTTTATGAGTATTTTTAAACAAAATTTAAAAATATGGTATGGGGTTTGTGTTTTTTTTTTTTACAAGCATTTTTGGTAAATGTAGCATGGTCTGACTCGGGATCAAAGACCTACCGGGCGGCAGGCCGATTCCGAATTTTGAAACAATTAATTAGCTATAATTCTATTTGTTTTCCAAGAGGCCCATCTAATTTGAAATATAGTAGGTCATTGGAAAAATAGAAAGTTAGTCCTCACATATTTCCCAAATTAGAAATGACATATATCCTAGGAGTCCTTACCAAAACGATCATGATTATAATGTGATAAATTTGTAAGGGCTTCCCATTGAATTCATACACTCGGAAGCATGAAATATAATCAATTTGATCCTTAAAGATTACTTCAATAGTTTCTCAGGAGAAGTATGGATAAAATTTCTTCTCTAGTATGGATAAAATTTTGACCTGAATATTTCTGGCCATATTTCTACTTATATATATATATATAGAAAATATATTAATTTTATTCAATTTACTAATTTTTGTTCTCATTTAATGGACAAATCCTTGACTTGGTTCTAAAATTTGGCCACAGTGGTGATAAAATAAACATTAGCCAAAAAAAAAACTTTGGGACTAATAGTGGCCTGTTATTACAAGAAAGCAACAAGTAAGGGTCCATGTGCTTGAAAGGAAGACAGGTTTGGAATTGGGCAGTTTAAACTGATTGGAAAAATATATGTCAAAGCATTCATTAGTTCAAAGAAAACAACTCCACTTCTTGAATATGCGCAATTTGGTTATATTTTGTCAAAAAAAGAAGAAGAAAAGAAAATACATTTGATTATGTGCTTTCACTTGAAATGGTGGTGTCATAGAGGCCACTAGTGTTTGCGCTCTCTCAGTGCTATGAGCTGAGTGGCAACCCATTCTATCTCCTGTACTTTCTTTGACCTTTTTTTTTTTTTTTTGTGTAAATTACTTTCTTTATACCTCATTTGTTAAAGCTTGGTTAATCTCTTAAAACAAAGGGAAAATTACGTTCTTACCGTTTTATTTTACCGTTCTAACAAAAAGGCTAAAAACTATGCGGTATTTAAGTGGAAGACTAACCCCCTTGTATTTTTTTATTTTTTTAGACTTTGCCCACTGCTTGTTAAGTTTCATGTTTGTTATTTTTTTATATTCGTAAGGCCATCCAATGTCAAAAAATGGAGTTGGACACTTTGAGAAGTGGGCTGCTGTTTGAAACATCGAACCGCTTGTGTTAGGGTTTTTTTCTTTTTTTTCTCCTCTCCTCTATCGTTTCTTCATTCCTCTTTCTTTTGTGCGTTGGCATTTAAGCCCAAACACAAGCCGTCCGATGTTTGAAACTTGGACTACTATCTGTTCACATTTGTTTATAATAATACGTCATCCGATGTTTGAAACATTGGACCACTTCAGTTACGGATGCCTTTAAAATTGTAGTGCAGTTGGATGTTTGAAACATAGGACCGCTTTATAAATTGTTCCATTCAATTCTTATGACATTTGATGGCCTTATGAATACAAGCAAAATAACAAAAAAAAAAAATTAATAGGCGGTCTGATGGGGCAAAGTTAGAAAAATAAAAAATATCAGGGGGTTAGTCCTTCCATATAAATAGCGCATATTTTGGGACGTCTTTGTTATAACAGCAAAATAAAATAGAACGGTACAGACGTAATTTTCCGTAAAAACAAAGGGGAAACCCAACTTCTTGGAACAATGGGCCACAAAGAGGAAATGATCGTTCTTTAGATAACTAGGAAGTCATTACATTGACACATGCAAAAATCGAAACTTAATGCCAATTTTTTATCTTTTTCCCCTCTATACTAATTTCTAAATGCAAGAAAAAAAGACTTGTCCTTTCAAATGGTAAGAGCAGGAGTGAACTAAAATCCGTTATATGGCATTTGAAAATAAATTAGAACAATCGAGAAACCCGATTCTAAGGGAAAAGAATTCCAGCATAGGAGTGCAATATTTTATACAGAAAACAAAAATTTTAGAGGGAAAATAAATTTTTTTTTTTTGTGTGTATGTAGAGGAAAATTGTCCCACTTAATAAAAGAAGATCACATAGTTCAAAACCATAAAAATTCAAAACTGCAACAGTTATAGAATTAACCATGAAAATTCAAAACTGCAACAGTTATAGAATTAACCATGAAAATTCAAAACTGCAACAATTATTGAATTAAATTCAGAACATTGAGATCTCTATTGTATCATAAATGGTGATAAATCACATGAAATCTTAAACCCATTATTTATTTATTGAAATGCAATTGGATAAGAGGCAACGATGTAATCACTAGGACGCATCAAATCATAACCTTAGTATGCATAGTGCTTGTCTGATTTTCATGTGTTGAAATAAAGTTACAGAGTTTTATCAACAAATGGCTTCAAATCGAGAGGGCTTCATTAATCTTCGTGATCAAATGAACCGCTTGGGCGTTTGAGCTTAGGTTTTATACATTGAGAGCACCCTTTTATCTTCATTGAAGACAGTATTTTTAAACCAAGGACTTGAATGGAGACTCGTAAGGGTCGTGATCCCAAGTCAGGCATTTCGATTCAATCAAGACTCAGCCGAGTCTTAAAAAATTAATGATAAAACATCAGGAACTGGTGAGATACCCAGTTTCTGAAGGTTTTTGATCTAGACTTGTCAGGTCTGAGTAACTCCGGAGAGTATGAGTTGGATTCACTGAGTTTTATAGTTTGAAGATTATCTTCACAGAAAAAGAAATTCTTGACTACTTCTCTTATAGCATAATTAAATCCTGCTAAAGTTTCTGTACAATGATATGATTAAACAAACAATTTTTGGTGCTTCCATTCATGTAAAGTTTGGATGACTTCAACAAAATAAGAAGATGCAACATTTATAGTGACTTCAATAAGAGGGAGGTCTCAAACTTCGATTTGCAATAATTAGAAGCTAAGGAAATACTATCTCCTTAATTCCATTCTTATCTTATGAACGTATTGAGGAGATTAAGGACTTCTCTTGAGACTGAGAGGATTTGGTTGGGGTGGCAAAAAGGAATGAATCAATCCACAAGATCGAGTCATTCAATGCAAACTGCAGCCTGATTCATCAAATGCTTGCCGGATCCCTGCAAACACATCAGCAGGCTAAAACATCGGTAATAAGTGGGTTTTTTTTCAACAAGTCGATAGCTAAAAAATAAGGTAAGTTATAGAATCGTGAATATTTCAAATTTTGTTAAAAAACATAATGAAAAAATCGGACATGTAAAGATGATACAATATGAGGTTATGATTTGCAGCTCTCATATGAATATATTAAAGCCATTAAACAATAATTTTATAGCCTTTTTTGTGTCATTAGACTAATACTTGAAAATTTTATATTGAAATTTTCAATAATTCCAGCAATGATGCTTTTACCCTGTTGCCGCAGCACAAAAAATAAAAAATTTATTTAGGATTGTTGTTAATTAAAAGAAAATGTAAAGACCCAAATATGTAAAATAGTGGTCCATCCAAAACGCTATGTCGTATACTCCAATGAAATAGAAACAAAAAATAAAATATGAAATTAATCAAACTTCTCTATGCATAGAAGAAAAAACAAAATTCTCAAGCAAATTCAAATCTCGCACTAAATTCCTAGTTACCTAAATCTTTAGTATCATTGAATCTCTTTCTTGCTCTTTATAAGAACGCTATGGTTTAAAGAAGAAAAAACAAGATTTTTCATCGGGTTACTCTTCAGTTAATTACATCTATTATTTTGAGATACACTATTGTTTTGATTGATTTTTTAAGGGGAATTTATTGCTTGTATTTTTTGTGCACTTTTTTTTTATTGGTGAAATTTTTGATAGAATTGTTTTGTTAAATCAAGATTCTTAATTTACTCTCAATGTTAATGTACCTATCTTTAAATCAAAATTCAATATTATTAAGTTAGTCAAGAAATAAAGTTATAGAGCAGAAGTTATTTTTTGAATTTTTTTATAAAAGATAAAATACAAATTGATAACAGTTCCATAAAAAAAACACGATTTTTTGTAAATCTTTTGAAATTTTTTTGAAAAACTCAATGTTCTTAACAAATTTCAAAAAATCATTTGAAAAAATTATGTTTTATACTTTAAACTGAAGGTCAGAAATCTAATATGGATTTAAAACAAAGAAAGTCGGAGAAAAAAATGAATCACATAGAAGCAATAGTTTGGTGGTGCCTTGATATCCCTTTTGACAGCTAGGTGCCTCTTCTTGATGAGCAGGCTAGGGAAACATTAATTTATGGAAAAGTATACAATGCGACCAATTATTTTGATGCAAAAAAAGCTTGCAAATATCCCAGGCGATCAGATATGGAATTGAGCATGTCGGGGTGCTATTGGCTGTGCTAAAAAAACCCTCCTCGGGCTCTGTGCAAAACAATAATAGACCCTAATAGTCCAATTCTATATCTCACAACTTAAGTGTTTGTGACCTTTGAACAAGTAAGTACTGAGCCTTTCCATATTTAGAAAGTTTACCCCTACACTTTAGTAACTATATTTTGGTTTTCATTCTCACTGACATCTTCTTATTAATATTATCAAAAAAATAACTCGTAAACTATTTAAAAAATGCGGTCACTTTTTTCTTTGTCTTTCCCACTTAATTACCTATAATAATAAAACAAATCAATAAATAAAAACCAAATGGATATTAAACCAAACCCAAAAGCACCCTAACTTATGCATGCATAGCTCAGGTACTATTGTAGGGGACTTAAATGGCATCAATACTTTTCCACCATGACATGGGCTAGAAAATGAGAGAAAAAATAAATGGTCTGAAGGGTAAACAATAGGGTCGGGCCTAGTGCTTTGTGCTGCAGGTTCCAGTACAAGATTTTACTCATCATTCAAAACAGAAAAATAAATAGAAGAGGAGGTCAAATGGGAGACGTAAGATCAAAAAAATAAATTACCTGATCCAATTTAGGTTGTTTCTTAGTGGTGTCCAGCATCAACCCAAAGTGAATATGAGGAAAATGTGCCCACTAACAAAAACAAAAATGAAACATCAAAGTCTAGCACCCAAATCATGAAATGAAATATAATCAACATTTTTTGTACTTGTAAGACTCTAAAACAGGTTAAGAAATGAAATAGAGTTGCAGTGTTAACAGGTGGGAATTTCGAAAGAACCAGAAAATATGGAGAGAAAGAGAGAGCTGACATTCTTAGCAGCAGTGCTGAAAGCTTCCCTGTGGCTGATGTCGGGATTGCTGGCCTTGATCCTCTGGATTTCCTCTCTGCACAAATCAACATTTTAAAGAAATAACGGAAAAAGAAGAAGAGAAAAAATAAAATAAAATAAAATATGCCGCAACATTACTCCCTTTGTAAATTTCACAGTTTCCTTTTTTATATATGTGATTATTAGAGTGTTATTACTCACTTTATAAACCGATTGTAAGCAGAAGGTACCCGTTGCCGCTTTTCTGGAGCTGTACAATAAATCATTAATGAGAATCGATGGAAAAGAAGGAGGTTATGTTTTTTTTCCACCTCTAAGAAACTATAAAACTCACGCCTGTTGACAACAGTCCTCTCTTCCTTCTCGGCGATTGATTCATTCGGAATCAAAACCTTGTTGTTAATGTCGTCGTGATTGAAGTTGTTAGAGGTGGAAGATGAATCCATGGTTGTCATCATCATCATCATCCTGTTATAACCATGAGATCCCGTCAAGCTTTGGTTCTGCATTTCATCACAACAAATATGAGGTTACTGAGAGTAGGGGGGAGGGGGGGGGGTAGGGATGAGGTTTTGATTGTTAAGAAAAGGGGTTTTCAGACGTGATTGATAAGATTGAGAGGGAGCCACCTTGTTGTTAGAGAAAGAAAGAGAGGAGAGAGAAAGGCGCCTCCATGTCTCAGCCGTGGAGGACAGACTAGACTAGCAACATTCATGTCTATGAGATGGGGTTGGTTCCTCTTATTATTTTATTTTATTTGCAAATAGGAATTTGATACAGTTGTGATTGGACATCCAAATATTAAATTAAATGAGGAAGAAGAACAGGCAACTTTCTTGGTTAAAAGAATTGAACATGAACTTGTTTCTATCTGAGGTTCCATCCTTTCTTTCTCTACCCAACAGGCATAGAGATAAGAGAGAGAAAATGAATCCCCCTCTTTGTGACTCTAAACCAGCACGCACTTACCCGAAGGAGTTGATCATGTTGAAGATTAGCAGGAGCAGGAGTGAGAGAGGGGGCATGGAGCACCGCGGCCATGTTGACTGAGAGAAGATTAGTGCAATGCCCACATCTCACTGTTACCACTTTGAACAAACTGCTGCATGGTACGCTCACCTGCAACCAAACCCAATACACATTTACCTCACCATCAACAGTTCCTCCTCTCGCAGGCACAATTCATATTATTTCTTTGGTTGCTAGGGTTCGCTATTTTTTTACTTTTATTGCTGAATTGAGCTGTGAAAAAAAGAAAAACCAATTGTATTTCTTCAATGTCTCACTGTATTTTCTTGAAAATGGTGTAGAAGATCCAATAAATTCTTTTTTCTTTCTTTTTTTTTTTGAGAAATAAGATCCAATAAATTCCAGTTATAAAATTTGGGGTACATGAGCTTAACAAAGAAAAGCTTACCCCTCTCTGAGCAAAGTTAGAAAGCAAGAGAGAGAGAGAGAGGGATATTAATAAAAATGAAAAGAATGGGGGATGAGAGAGAGAGAGAGATCAACTCATCTCCCTCAGAAATACTGTCGGCCATGATTTCCTGAATCGCTTTCCAAGGGATAGAAAAAGAAAAAGAAAAAAAGCCATTTTAAACATGATATATCTCTCTACAAGAGTAAGAATAGGGAAAAAAGAAAAGAAATTCAAGCTTTCAGTTTACTAATCGACTGTCCATTAAATTACGGGATAGTTAGCAGCATAGAAAAGAAAACACAGAGAGAAGAAAAGTAGAGAGAGAGAGAGAGAGAGAGAGAGATACCGCAAGAATGGTGTTGCAAAAGTTGCAGGGAAGGTAGCAGACGTGCTCAGATGAAGGAGAAGGGGATGAAGTGACATTGATGCTGCTGTTGCAGTTCGACATGTCCGTGCTTCTCGCCGCTCCACTGATTTCTCACCTACCTCTCTCTCTCTCTCTAGTACCTTCCCCCCTACTAAACGCCAAGAAAGAGAGAGAGAGAGATCAGAGAAAACGCCGGGGGCTGATTATAAGGAAAGATAGAGAGAGAAATAGAGGATCTAGAGAGAGAGAGAGGGCCCAAAAACCGAGGTAGAAGTGGGCTTGGCAAAAAGAAAGGGGGATTTTTGTTTGTTTGGGTGCAATGACTGTTGCATTTGCAATAGCAATAGCAGGCGATGGTGGATGGGGGGGACCCGTCCCCTCTCTGGTTTGTTTCGGGTAAGCGTTTTTCACGCTCCCTCCCTTTGTCATTATTCTCTCTCTCTCTCCCTCAGTCAATTGTGCACCCACCCTCCATGCTTCTTGGCGGACGAGGGGGGCGAATTCCTTCATTGAATATTTTTTTATTTTTTTATTTTTTTTTGGACAACAACTAAATATTATTAAGGACCCAAAATTAAAAATAAAAGTAAAATAGTTTCGAATTTCTTTTTATGTAACTTCACTCCTCAACCCTTCAATCTAATCCCTCACTAGGATTGTTCATGTCACAATGTCTTAGTTATTTTAATTTTTTTATTAAATCTTTTTGGCTTAAATTTGGGGCGTTCCATCTTTTCTATTAAGGCACACCTGGCAGGCAAAGAAAAAAAAATGTTTTTTATAAAAATAAATTACCTTTAAAAATTTTAGATGTATTCTAATAATTTTTTATCCCATGAATTTTATCATGTATGTATGCTCCAAATTTTAATACAAAATAATTTGTAGAAACAAAAATTATATTAATTGAATCGAAAATGGATGTTCAAAGAGCCCAAAAATTATGACTCGAGCTATGTCAACGGTATTGACAATATATAATAACTTTTTGGAGTGTTTCAAAGCCCGTGGTCCCTAATGTCATCTAAATTGTGAATAAACTCCATAAAGAGGGAAATGAAAAGAAGCCTCATATTTTATACGTTTTGTTAGCAACGATAGTTCTATTACCCATAAATATCTTGGAAGCATAAATAGCGTAAATTAACAATCCCTGGTCTTTTTTTTTCTCCCTCCGAGTTTGTGTGCAACCTTTCGAAAGAAGGAAAAAATTTATATAAGATTAACACTATAAAATGCAAAATTAAGGTGGACATCTAAATCCTTCAAAAAAGATTGTTTTGATGCGGGAAAAACATCTAATTTATTATCTTGACATCAAGATTTATAGATATGGGGAAAAAGATATTTCAAGTCCTAAATATAATAAACATTGCAACACATTAATTGAACGGGCCATTTTCAAGATTTCCGTACATTCATAAAACTACTTGATTTGTGTTGATAACGTGAATACGTGTTTACTATTTTTATGAAATTTTATATATTTGATAACTACTTAGATTTCTTATATATATATATATATATATATATATATATATATTAAAACCCTATTTCGTAGGGTTTGAAACCATGTAGTTATGGAAAAGAGGGTTACATGAGTCCGATAGAGAGAGGGAAACCTTTTCTAACCAATAAAAGATTGGAAGAGAGAGGAAGAGAGAGAGCCTATCACGTGGGTATTTTTTTAGCTTTTCCTCTTTATAAACTGTTTTGTAGAGCAGATTATATGTAATGAGGCTATTCATCTTTATTACAAGGAGGCCACAATCGCTCCTATTCAATATATGTCAAATTGAATGGCTTGTGCAAGTCACAAAGTCTAAGAAATTTTTTTTCTTCGAGTCATGACACTCTTACAACCACCTAAATTGATATCCAAAGACAATAGTTATTGTGACCTCCTTATACCAAAAAATAAATGATCTCTTTCTATACTTTTCCTTTGAAGCGAGAGAAAGAATATGGAAAAAAGATAGTGCAATAGAGAAAGGGTTAGTTCTATAGTCCTTTGGGTAGATGTTTTAGAGAGAGAAAGACTTTAGGGCTTGAGGGAGATCTTGTTATCCCTTTGTATTCTCCATACTTGCATAGTATTTTTCTAATTAGTGAAAGAGAATTTTGCTGTTCCGTGGATGTAACCAATTTGTTGAACCACGTAAATCTTTGTTTCTCGTTTCTTTTAATTTTTTGCACTATTCTTTTTTGTTATTTTTCCCAGATCTTTATTTTTATCTTCTACAATTGGAATCGGAGGAGTAGGGATTAAGATCCTTCCTGGGCACAAAGTTTGTGGCAAGTCGTAGATCTTTGAAGCTAGCTGGAGAAAGATCAACCAAATATGAAATTTTAAAATTTGAAGGTTCGAATTTCTCAACCAAAAAATTAAAGTTACATATGATGTTGGTGAAATATGATTGTGTTGTAGCTTTAAAAGGCAAACAAAATAAATCTATACAGATGGATGGTGAGGAATTTGATGAGAAGGATAAATTGGCCAAGGTAGATATTCTTTTGGTGTTTGATGAGTCCGTTTTATTCAATGTCTTTTTAGAAGCTACTATGTAAGATCTATGGGATAGGCTAAAAATGCCCATGAAAGTAAGTCTCTTTCTAATAATATTTTTTTCAACTTTACAATCTCAAGATGAATGATGGTGCATAATTGCAAGAGCACTTAAATGAATTTAATGCCTCTATTAACAAGTTGATGTCACTAGATGTAAAAATTAATGAAGAAGATAAAACAACTATATTACTTTGTTCTATGCCGGAATCATGGGTTGGACTGATCATGGATCTCAGTAGTATGAAATCTCTTGAATTTGATTATTTTGTTTTAGCACTTCTGACACAGGAGTCTACGCGAAAGTCTGGTTAGGATTCCTCTAGGAATGAATTTGTAACAGGGGTAGATCAATGGAGAGATGTGGAAAATTAAGTCATGTGAAGAAAGATGGTAGGGCACAAAAAGGAAATAAGCCCTAAATCTGGTTGTAATGAGAGACCTGGTTCAACTCAATCTCAAGAAAATCTAGTAGAAAAATTTGAGCGTTTTGAAGATGGAGAAGTAATATCTATGGATAGGGAGGAAGTTTTATAGTATTAACTACTTGATTCAGGTGCTTCCTTTCACATCTCCATATAGGGATTGATTCCATAAGTATCAACCATATGATGGAGGTATTGTTTACATAGGAAATAATGACTCACATAAAATAGTGGGAGTTGGAGATGTGAAAATCAAGATGGTCAATGAAGTCACTTGTACAATCCCAAGTGTCAGACATCTTCCAGGTCTCAGAATAAGTCTCTTGTCTTTAAAAAATTTTGACGAGCAAGGTTTCAAGTTTACAGGCAAAGATAGATGTTTTTTCAAGAGGAGCACTGGCCGTTGCAAAAAGAGAGTTAACATGCAGTATGTACCGACTTGTTGGAGAAATAGTTTTAGGAAAGGTTGATATTGCATAAATGGACTCGGTCATGACATGAAATAAGCATTTGGTTCACATGAGCAAGCGTGGATTTATGGTACATCTCGATAAAAACCTCATCTCTGGTTCAAAATCTTTTAATTTAGATTTTTTTGAATCATATTTATTTGGAAAGAGAATAGACTGAGCTTTACTTTATCCACAACTAGAAGTAATGATTGTTTTAGAATTGATTCATTTGGCATTGCACATCTCTTCCCTCCCTCAAAACACCTATTTAGGATAATTATCTTAGTCTAAAATGTTAGGGAACACATAATAATTACTAAATGACTATTTTTAAAAGAAACGACACTTAGATCTAGCCCTTAAACATTGAACATCCAATCTTGAGGCAAAAGTTTTTTCTAGTACATTAGAGAGTTTACTTTGGATTTTTTTTTTTTTGCTGAGATTATTTTAAGGGTCGTAAAAATTACATCCTCAGAATTTGAGATCCAAAAAATATCATAGCTTGTGTTTTGCTCAAGGGAGGAAATCGATAGTATCCTCTCTAAGAAGGAGGAGATCTTTTAGCTAAATTAAATTAAACCTGAAGAATTAGATTATTGAACTGGTCCCCTAAGGTTCGTACTTGGGTAGAGAGTATGGCAGTGCCTGGGTCCCGCATTTTGTTGCGTTTAGCAATTGGGTTCCTTCTCAGAACGCCCCAAAAACACACAACAAAAGCCCATGACTTGGTTCATGTGTATATTCATGTATAATTATGAGAGTGAGATGTATGTGCCTATATTTTATGAGAGAGAGAGAGTAAAATGCACTGATAATGCATCAAAAAAGTAACAAGAGGACAATGCGCATTCATAAAGAGCCCTTGGAGATGAGCAACACGAAGTGTATTCATGATGGCAAAGTAGCATGAAAGGAACTCTAGATAGTAGTCCAAGAGAACACATTTCATTTTAAAATTTCCCAATAAAAAGCCCCATATCTATCTAATAAATAGTACAACATAGACCTAAAATAGCATCGGTTAGGAGGATCCTGGTGAAGGTGATATAGTCAGCGAAAGGTGGAGAATTTATTTTACAAAATTATTAAATAACAAACATTATGGGAACACAATGTTAGGAGGAACCTTTAACATATATGAAGGCATAGGTCATAGTTACATTTGTAGGATTAGGATATCTAAAGTGAGAGAAGCTTTAAGAATAAAAAAGATAGGACAGGCTGTAGGATAAGATGGTATCCCTACAGAGGTTTAGAAGCATGTGGGGGAGATTTGTATATACCGGTTTACCAAGGTGTTCAACAAGGTACTGAGACCAAAGAAAAACAAAGGCAAAAGGAGAAAAAGTATTGTGGTACCTATTTACAATAACAAATGAGACTTACATAATTATATGAACTATCAAGGAATTAAATTTATGAGCCACACTATGAAGCTGTGGGAGAGAGTAGTTAAGCAACGACTAAGGCGTGAAACGAGTGCATCAAACAATCAGTTTGATTTTATGCCAAAGTGATCAACTATCGAAGCCATTTTCCTACGTAGGCAACTGATTGAGAAGTTTAAAGAGAAAGGAAAATACCTCTACATAATCTTTATTGATTTAGAAAAAGCATACGATAAGGTACCTAGACATTTAATTTGGTGGGTGTTGGAATAGAAATGAGTCACTAGAGAGTATATTGATTTTGTGAGAGATATGTATAAGTAAGCATCTAACAAGTGTGCAGACAATTAGTGGAGAGACAAGCAAATTCTCAAAAACAATGGGCCTACATTAGGGGCCAACACTGAGCCCATATGTCTTTGTTTTGATTATGAACGAGTTAACCAAGCACCTACAAGATGAGACACAATGGTGTATGTTATTCGTGGAAGACATAGTTTTTATCGATGAGGAGAAGTCAACACAAAGTTAG